GGGAATTGCCCTTCTGCCACCCCCAGCATCCACCAGGTCCTGCTGGAAATGGGGAATTGCACTGGAAATGAGGAATTGCAGGGGAAAAGGGGAATCCCAGTGGAAATGAGGAATTGCACTGGAAATGGGGAATGGCAGGGGAAATGGGGAATCCCAGTGGAAATGGGGAATTGCACTGGAAATGGGGAATTGCAGTGGAAATGGGGAATCGCAGTGGAAATGAGGAATTGCAGTGGAAATGGGGAATCCCAGTGGAATTGGGGAATTGCACTGGAAATGGGGAATTGCAGGGGAAATGGGGAATGGCAGGGGAAATGGGGAATTGCACTGGAAATGGGGAATTGCAGTGGAAATGGGGAATTGCAGTGGAAATGGGGAATTGCAGTGGAAATGGGGAATCCCAGTGGAAATGGGGAATCGCAGTGGAAATGGGGAATCGCAGTGGAAATGGGGAATCGCAGTTGAAATGGGGAATTGCAGGGGAAATGTGGATTTCCATCCCTGCAGGGCAGGGCAGACAGAAGGAGCTGGAGGCAGAGCTTGGCCCAGCAGCAGAGCTGCCCTGCCCTGGGTGCTGTGCCCGAGCTGAGCCCTTCCCCAATCCCCCGTGGGTTTGGGTTTGGGACAGGACAGGGCAGGGGGGCTCTTTGGTGTCTTTATTTTGGGGTGTTCCTCCTCTGAAGGTGAATTTGGTGCCTTTATTTAGGGATGTCCCTCCCCTTTGGGCACACCTTTATTTTGGGGTGCCCCTCTCCTTTGGGCACACCTTTATTTATTTTCTGATGTCTCTCCCCTGGAGGTGGTTTTGGTGACTTTATTTTGGGGTGTCCTTTCCCTGAAGGCGAATTTGGTGTATTTATATTGGGGGTCCCTCCCCTATGGGCACACCTTTATTTTGGTGTGCCTCTCTCCTGGAGGTGGCTTTAGTGTCTTTATTTTGGCTGTCCCTCCCCTTTGGGCTCACCTTCATTTTGGCTGTCCCTCCCCTTTGGGCTCACCTTTATTTTGGGATGTCCCTCCCTTTGGGCACACCTTTATTTTGGGATGTCCCTCTCCTGAAGATGAATTTGGTGTATTTATTTCGGGGCATCCCCCCGCTTAGGGCTCACCTTTATTTTGGGATGTCCCTCCCCTTTGGGCTCACCTTTATTTTGAAATATCCCTCTCCTGAAGATGAATTTGGTGTATTTATTTCGGGGCATCCCTCCCCTATGGGCTCACCTTTATTTTGGCTGTCCCTCCCCTTCAGACCCCTTTATTCGGGCTCTCCGTGCTGCTCCTGCCCTCTCCAGGTCCTGCCATTCCCCCAGGGCTCCTCCATCCCCTCCTCCCGTTGCTGGCAGATTTAGGGAGCGGTTGCCATGGCGACGGGGCAGGAATGGGATGCGCAGCCCAGCTGGGATCAATCCCAGCTGCCGCCTCCTCCTCCTCCTCCTCCCGAGCACCCGGCGCATTTTTAATAAAGTGACCGTGCACAGGAGCCTTGTCTTTGTCTTGTTAAGCCTTTGTTGTGCATTAAACCCCCGGGGCTTTCACCGTAATCTGCTGCAAATCCCGGCCCTGCTGCCCGGGCTGTGCCCGCTGCATCCACGGGATGTTTGTGTCCTGATGGATTTTATTGCTGGAATTGGGTTTAATTGGTGAATCGTGTCTAGAAATGAGGGAAATTAAAGGTGCAGCGTGTGAGAATGGAGCCAGGGCTTCGGTGACACCTGAATTCGTCCCTGCTGGGCTTTGTTTGCTGTTCTGGATGTTTTGATTCTGGTTTTGGTTGTTTTTGTCTTTCTTTTTCTTTTTTTTT